GAATCATATAACTAAAAAACTTTCTGTGGTTCTACATTCTAAGCAGCTGATGTAGATCAGCAGACAGGAAAAAAAATGTTTTACTTTGTGATCCTTTCTGTCCACGTTCGACATATTTCTTAAACTAGCTTTATCCTTAATATAGTCTAAACTTGTGGTTAATGTAAACTTGCTTTTGAGAGAATGAGCTGTACTTTTAGGATGATAATGATAGCAAGTTTCTGGTCTACAAAGCTGAGAGAAAACTTCGGTCCACAAAATAAATGCTATTTGAGTTGACTTTTTTTTTGCATTTAAATGTTTTTATTAAAATTTAAAGTAGGTGTGTTTAAATTACAATATTCCTACTTAAAAAAAAATTATTTTCCAATTACAGTTGACATACACTATATTAGCTTCAGGTGTACGAAACAGTGATTAGACATTTATACCTTATAAAGTACTCACCTGGATAAGTCTAGTACCCGTCTGACGCCATACATAGTTATTATAATATTACTGACTATGGTCTCTATGCTGTACTTTACATCCCTATGACTATTTTTATAACTGGCAATTTAGATGACGGTTGGGGGGATGGGTGGATTGACTCTTAGTTGGCTATCTGCTAGCCAGTCAACCAAGCAGTCTCTTTTGGCAAAGTAATGACTTTGCCATTCATTTGAATTAACCTGTTACAAAATCCCATGGTTAGAAGAAGATAAGTACTCCAAGAGTTAGTATTGTTCTAGGGGAGTTTTCAGAACTAAGAAAAATTTGAGTATATTTGTGTTTCTTAGAATACACTAAGACTTGTGGTTGTTCATTAGTCATCTATCAGATTGGCAAATACAAACACTGTGACAACACTTTCTGTTGGCAAGGCTGTGAGAAAGCAGGCACTTTCATACATTGCTGGTAGGAATGCAAATCAGTATACTCTTTCCAGAGGAAACTTTGGCAATACGTAACAAAATCCTGCTTCTAGGAATCTATCTAGAAGACGCACCCCCAACAATAGCAAAAAGCTATGCGCAAGACTATTCACTGCAACGGTCTAACAAAATGTTGAATAAAAGATAAAATACTGTATAAAGTATACACAATGTAGTATTTTAAATCAATGCAGGAGATCTGCATGTATTACCATAGATATACCTTGAAAATAATGTTTGGTGAAAAGAGTAACTTTTAGAGTGATATGCGTAGTATGACACTACTTTTATACAGTATGATACCACACATGCAAAATTTAAAAATATACAACACAACACTACACACTGAGTATAAGCATGGGTATATGTGTAACTAAAATTATGAAAAATATGGGTGAGAAAATAATTCACTAAATGAGTAATAATTATTTCTAAAGTGGAAAATACAGTGGGTAGAATTAAGCATTATAATATGGCAAAATATTGACATCTGCTAAATATAGGAAGTGGATTAAAGGACATTTGTTAGATCGTTTTCCATATTTGAACTATTTCATAATTAATGAAATTATGGTTTTATATGGAGGACTTCTAATTGGCCATTTGGATGAAAACTTATTACTGAAATATACTTTTTATTTCTAATGAGCAACAATTTAAAAATTCTAGAGTGGTTGGTATTTATCTACAATTAATCATTATTGAGAATATACTGCCACCTAGCAAAACTTCCCAGAATAGTTTAACAACCAAACAAAATATAGTTCTCTTCGTATGGATGGACCCTGATTTACTGTATTTCAGTAAAAATTCTTAAAAAGTACTACATTATGAAATAGGAGCTTTGCAACTTCAAAAGCAAAAATGTAGTTTTTAATATTCTTATTTCTGTTCTCTGGCACTTCAGTTTCTACCTTTACTATCACAAGAAATAGAAAGCAACTTTCTAGTGGGTTTGTTGGTAATGTGCTGTCAAGAATAACACAATGTCAGTTTCATATAAAAGCCCCTGACTCTCCTATGAGATTATAATAAGTACCTGGTCAGATGGTTTCGTCTCCTAATACTGATTTTACATAACACTGCTGCCTTAAAAAAAGATGATTGGGGCAAACTCCGCTCTAGTTTTTCAAACTCTAGTTTTTTTAGTCACTAAAAAAAAACAACAGAAGTGTTGTTTTCTATTGTGCATCCTTTCTCTAGTTCTAGTGAAAAGGACAAAAAAAAAAAGGTCTGCATTTATGAGATTACCTCATTTGATTAGGTCACTCAAGCTAAGCTATCCATACTTTCTTCTGTCCAACAAGTATTTACTTATTACTACCTGTAGACAAGGTACAACGCTAGAGGTTAGGGAAGTTGCTTTAAGGTGGTTAAATATCTCTACATAAAGTACTAGTAAAGATAAAAAATGCATTAAATAATCACGAGATGAAGTAAAAATAGTTTATTTTTTTAAAAAAGGTAAAATTTTACATCACTTCAGAAAATAAGCATATTTTAAGGACCTAGAGTCAGGAAGTATTTTATAAATGTCAGCCTTTATCCTTGGAATTTTTTGAAAAGAGTGGAATTATTAAGGGTAAAAGACACTAAAAATTAGCATAATAGGTGACTCTACAGGAAGGCTTTTATTTTCACAAAAGACATTTTGGGTAATTAAATATACTGCCAGAGACTGAGGTGGTGGTGATGGTGGGGGAGTTGTATAATAGAAGGTAGAGAGATCGACCGTGTTTAGATTGGTCTTTACCAAAAGTAACAGAAAGCCACCAGGTAGGCTTTAAGCAAGGAAGTCACATGATTAATGTTTTGAAGACAGAACTCCAGCTCTACTATGGAGATGAGACTGGAGAGAGAAGAGTTACAGTAAGTAGCTGGAAGGCTAGTACAGTGTTCTGGTGGGCGATATAACTTGGACTAGGATAAGGGTAGTGATGGAAAAGTAATGGGAAGATCTGAAAGATAATCTGTATCTGAACTCTTTCACATACACTTCTTCCTTAGAGAGCTTAATTCATTTCTTTTACTCATTTTTTATGAGACTGTTTCCCTTAATTTCCATGAACTATTTTATAGTAACAACGTTACAATTTATCTGTAATATATGCTATATTACTTTTCCTAATTGATTGTCTTTCCCTCCTCCCAACCCCTGCTTTGGGATATTTTTCAATTTTTATGTAGACAAATCAATATTTGTTTTTCCATTTGTAATTTTTATCCATTAATTTAAAATTATAACACTTTCTATCACCTTCATTTTTGTTCTTTTCTCTTCACCTTCATATTAGTAAATTATACAAGATTTACTTGAGTGTGGGACATGTATACCTCCTAATTTCTAAGTTCATTTAGTCATACAACAAACATTCACAGAGTGAATAATGTTGTAGGTGACATATAACATTGATATACATACAAAAAGGAACAGGTAAACAAGTGTTCGCAGAGTAGAAAGCACTCTGGTTGCACAAAAAATAATCTAGTCCAGACTTAGATGAATTAGTGAAGGCTTCCTAAAGATCAAATTTTAACTGTTTTGAAGAGGCCTGTAAATCAGCTAAGTGGAAAAAGAAAAAGCCTTAAGTGAGGAGTGGTAAATGATTGTCATTACCACTCTCAGAGTAATTTCAAAATTGAACAGGAAGTTCACTAGTATTTCCATTGAATCCCCAAAGACATCACTCTAATTAAGGTCTTTTATATCTCATAGGTAATCTTAAGGAAAAAAGGCCCACCAAATGTTTTCCATAACTAGCACAAACTTAATGTATGTTTATTAATACATACTAAATGCCTTCAGGTTTCTCTCTTTAATAAGTTCTATACTCCACCACCAAACGAAATCGACTTATGAACCTGGCAGTAAGAAAGTAATATATTTGTTTTACTTCCTACTTCATCCTACAAGTTCTCATCAATGGAGAGGTATCTACCCCTATACCATCTAAAGGGTTTCCTGCTACCATCCCTTCCCTGTTCATACTAGCCCCTCTGCTGGGAATGCCCTCTTCCCTTTCATTGAATCACTGACTGCAATTCTAGAATAAGATCCTTAAACACCAAGAATAAATATCACTCACTCCATTTTGCCTTCTTTGGAAACTTTTCTGCATTATTTTTTTTTTTCTGGGCATTATTCTGTATCATACATGGGTGCTGTTTACCCTTTCTTATCTGGGTATAGGCTACTTGAAAATAGAAAGCGTGTCTTACACAACTGTGTAATATGAACAGTGATTTGCTTATAGCAGCTACATGAATACAGAGGACAAAGCACTTCTTTGGCTGTAGCTATAAGGTCCTCATTTTATCCTTGCTTTTCCAGCTTACTTTTAGTTTTCAGATGACATACGACTCCCCAGAATAGAAGCAGAAACTAGAAACTGGAAAGGGAGTAGTAGCAGAAATGAAAGCCTGGTGACATTTGCACGTTATAGTGTAGGTGATGAGGACAAATATTTGAAGAGACTGGATTTAAGAGAATGAGATAAGGGAAATTGGGGACAGCAAGTGTAAATAGTTCTTAAAGTTGTGCTGTAAATGAAAGAAATGGTAGAGTACCTAAAAGAAGAAATGAAGCATTGAGCGTAAACGATACAATCTCACTGAAGATCAGCAATTTCTTAGAAAAGCTACATCTTTTAACCCCTTCCCGTCATTTTCGGCAGTCAATAAAAGGCGGGTAATGTGTACTGAGACTCCATTGTCAGACACTGCACATTCTAGTTAATTTCATTCTCACAACCTTATGAGGAAGGTAATTATACTATCATGAGTTTCGTTTTACAGACAACAGTGAATACAAAGATTAAATAAATTCCCCCAGTCCCACAGATAAAAATTCAGGGGCCTGAGGGCCATAGGCCCGGCTCTCGCTTCGGCCACCTAGAAACCGTGGAGGAGATTATCGCTGCCATGCTCTGAGTTCCAGAAAAGCAGCCAGGGCCCACAAAGAAGCTCCTGCAGTTCCACTCCCTACCCTCGCCCCCAGCCAGAACGTTGGCCTTCAGAAAGACGCAGAAGAGCTCTTCTGAAGGTCCTCAAGGTCATCCCCACAGCTTCCCAGACCTCGCTGCTCACCTCGTTATTTAGATTGAGAGTCCCCGGTTGAGCCATCGTAGGTCTAGGAAGAGGATCTGCAGCTGCCGGCACGTGAACTGTGTCTTCCATATTGCGGCTACGTCACCACGCCCCCTCAACGGCAGCCTCTTCCGCCCAAAACTCTTCGGCACGAGCCGCTGTAAGAATAAAAGAGACGCGGACTCTTTGAAGGGAAGGACGGAACTGTGGGAGAACAACTTCCGGAGCAGAAGGCTACGCGCCGTAATTACGTGTTCCTATGGAAACCAGGCGCGGGCAGGGGCGGCAACTGGACCCTCTGCGGTCTGTTTGTTTCCAGGTATAGAAGTTTTTCAAGTTGCTAATTTTATTACATTCATTTGTACACTAGGCCCGCTTTGTAAGGACATAGGTTTTTATGTTGCAATGGAGGTGAAAGAGCTCGTGTGAAAGCATTAGTAAAATCACCATTTTTTGCCCCGAATTTTTATCTAGCGTCTGTGAAGATTCCTGTGCTTCCAACCAACAAGTATGCCTTATCAGATACAGCTTACCAGACTCACATTATAACTGAGGCATGGGCATGTTTTCCTGCTCACTTTTAGAAAGTTTAAATTTAGATAATAAATGTTTCAAGCAAAACCAGGTTGCACATTTGCTGCTGCGTGTAGGAATGGCTATTTTGAAGTATTAGCCTGCAGGCACAGAACACGAGGGAGTGAGTCTGAATTAGGTAATATATTGATTAGTAATTAACACCTGTAATACTGTGGGTTAAAATAAGTCAAGTGCTGGGACATACGCTTTGCATGAATTATCTCCAAAATATTCACAAATCCAACAAGATAGGAACTATTATTTTCATTTCACAGATGTGGAAACTATTTTCCGAGGAGTCAAGTGTCTGGCCCAGAGCTGTCCAGCTGGAGCCAACCACTACTGTAGGACTCCAGGACTGGTTACTAATCTGCGAGGCCCAGTGCAAAATGGAAATGCAGAATCCCTCATTCAAAAAGTAGGAAAAAGTTTCTTCTTTTATTCCATGGTGTCTCTTGACATGGCATATGTTTTGAATTTGACATTTAATCTGGTACTGCCTTAATCACAGGAATACTGGTGGGTTAGTGCACACCCTCATAGGTGCCTGGGACCCTTGCCCCAGGACTCAGGGAGGAATGTATGTACTGGAACAAGGTGGCAGCAAATGATTGGCAAAGACAAGGAAATGAGAAGCCAGAAAACCCACAGGGAGGATGTGGGTGATGTATGTTCCATTGTCCCACTGCACTAAGAAAACTTAAATTCATAGATAAAATTATTAAGGATTGTAAGACTCCGATGAAAGAACATTTAAGCTAAGCTTACTTCTGAGCCTCTGTCCAAGAGATAGTACTGTCAATGCTCTTAACTGGTGATTCTATACTCAATACACAGTAACTCAGACTTGTATTTGGATTAATGTTCTTTTAGTTTAATGACTCATTTGGGCACAAACAAATTTATGGCTGTCTTCCCATTTCACTAGTGTCACCTAAAGGTAGTTTTTGCCATTAACAAATTGTACACTGAATTGTAATTGTTTCCCTATTCATCAACTTCCCTTTATTAAAGCTGAGCTCCTGGAGTATAGTTTTTTTTTCAACCCAGGTGAGTCATAGACACTCGTAAATAAATACATAGGAAAGGATGTCTTCAAGATAAATGTAGAGCCTTATGGAAAATGTGTTTTCTAATTTGGGAGATAGATGTTATTATAATTTCATAATGCTTCAGAAAATGTATTCTTAATATGAAGTTTGTAGCTCTTAAAGGCTCAGTAGTGTTTACTCTTGACCACACTTCTTATTCTCTAACACCTCATATTTCTAGCAACTACTGTCTCCTTCAGCTGAGCATTTGTTTTCTACCTTTTCTTAGCCCAAGCCCTCTCTTTTGCCTAAGATGCCCCCTCTGCCAGATACACTTTCTCAAGCACTACCTTTCAAGACCAGGTTAAATTCTATCCACTCTTTTTAAGAATCCTTTCCATAGACCCCAACAAAAGTTAATTTTTCTCATTCTTATATTATCTACAATAGTCAAATTTGAAATTTCTTGTGTACTGTCTATTTCTTTACATTATAAGCTCTCAGCGACTTCAGATGCTCATTTTTAAAGCAATTGGTAGTTTTTCATTGTCCCTGATATATCACTTCCATGTCAGTCCATCTCCTCCTTCGATGCTACAATCTCAAAAATTATTTTGATTTTTAACAGAGGTGATTCTACTAACATGCTCGTTAAGTTATGCACATTTCCTCTAGTAATAATGATGTATTTGTATTAATCAGGTTACAATTTTCTCTAGATAGTAACACATAAAATCACTCCCCCCTTTTATTCCTAAAGGACTGTCCTGGATCAGTTAAATACTGTCAGATATATGAAACAACAAAACTATTATCTTTAAGACAACTAGTGTGAGACCTTGTTCCTCTTTATTATAGTGTTCCAGTTAGCGGAAGTAAGCTACAAAGCATGTTCAATGGGGACTCAGGTTTATCAGTTTTGAGTTTCTCAAGAATTACTCAAATTCCACTGTACTTGTCTACTCGGGCTGCCATAGCAAAATACCACAAATCGGGTGGCTTAAACAACAGAAATTAATTTTCTTATATTTCTGGAGCCTTAAGTCCAATATTAAGGTGCCATCAGGATTGTACCTCTTCCTGGCTTGCAGATCAGCCTTCTTGCTGTGTCCTCATGTAGCTTTTCCAATGTGCCTACCTGGAGAGACACTGCTCTGGTGCCTCTTCCTCTTCTTATGAGGATACCGATCCTATTGGATTAGGGATGCACCCTTATGACCTCATTTCACCTTAATTACCTCCCTAAAGGTGTTACCGGAGAGTAGGGTTCCCCTCTCGATATGTTGTCCAGGTTCTTAATGTCTTGAACAAAGAATTGGTTAAGACAATGAAGTACAGCAGAAAGAATAGCTTTATTGGAAGGGAAAGTAAAGTAACAGTACACTTCTAGACGTGAAAGCAGGTCTGAGCAAGAGAAAGATAGCTCAAAGGCCTGGTAACAAAGCCTTTGGGGGTTTTATCCCTTTTTGCTATGAGTGGATACTTTTCTTAGAGGAGTGGGCTTTCTTGATTGACAGCTAAGATGGGACTCGGTGACTCATCAATTGCTTTCCGTGCATGTTTGTTCCCAGAATTCAATCTGTTATAATAATACTAATGAACTTCTGAGCATATTCATCTTATCATAATGATGACACAATGAGGCTCAGGTGAGTTGAAGGTCGTTGTGGTCCTCGTTGTGCAGGTGCGAGTGACTGGCTGAAACTAGTACCCAATTTTCTGCTTGCTTGTTTGCTTGTATGAGATACTTTTAGCCCAAAAATGCCTTTTGGCTTGCTTAATTGTGGGCTGACTAGGGTGGACACTTTCTAGAATAGGATGACCTCAGTGTTTTGCAGGCAGACTCGAAATCCCCTATCTAACTTTCCTGCCCAGCCTTTTTTAAAGACCTATGAACCCCTTCTTATTAGTATAGATGTCAAGGAATGGGATCTTCTTCTG